GTAAACACACTCCATTTTCGAAAACAGAGAGGGCCCCCCCCCCCCCCCCCCCCCGCTCGACAGATCTCCTCTCTTCCCTCTCACCTTGTCGACTCTCTCCTTTTCCCTCTCATTTTCGGCTTCTCCTCTCAAAATGAGGAAAAACCTTAATCTCTTTCCTTATATACCCATCTCCTTAGCCCTTGGATCTCACCAGCTTAATTTGGGCCATCCGTTCTCTTTTAAAATCTCTTCTATCAGATCTCCTCAAGCAGTCCGATCTGGGCCATCCATTCTCTTGATTTCCTTTGTCCCCTTCCACTTCTCCTTATTTATGTTTTTACCCTTTTTTTACTTACCTACTTTCATTTAAGTCCCTGAATTTATTTAAAAGGCTAAATTTTTAAAAATTTCTTTCATTTACACCCAAACTCTAAATTTTATTTATATTTCTTTTCTTTTATGTGGATATTACAATTTTTCTCTCCTTATAAAAATTTGGTCCTCTAAATTTGATATCTCTATAGTAGGTGAGGAAATCGAGCTCGTATCGAATCTTTAGTTTTTAAGTAGATTATGCTGGCGAATGATGACGCTAGAGTACCTTGACTATCAAAATAGTCTTATTCCTCAATACTCGTTCCTGTTTGTCCAATATTTCTATAGGTATTTTCTGATAGGACATACCTTCTTCAATAGGAATCTCCTCATACTGAATTATATGTGATGGATCAGGTTGGTATTTACGTAACATGGATACATGAAATACATCATGAACGTTTTCCAACTCTGGTGGTAATGTCAATTGTTAAGCATTAGATCAAATTCTCTTCAGCATTTCGAATGGTCCAATGAAGCGATAGCTCAATTTGCCTTTCTTCCTAAATCTTATAAGACCCTTCATTGGTGACACTTTCAAGAACACATGATCCCCTGTTTCAAATTCCAAACTCCTTTTACGATTATCTGCAGAACTCTTTTGTCTACTTTGGGCAGTTTGAAGGTTTTTCTTAATTACGACAATCTTGGAGATAGTTTTTTCAATTAATTTGGGTCCAATTAATTTTATGTCCCCAATTTCTTCCCAACACATAGGAGATCTATAAGGTCTGTCATAAAGTGCTTTATATAGAGCTGCGTTAATATTGGACTGATAGCTAGTGTTATAGGCGAAATCAATCAATGGTAGATGGTTATCCCAATTTCCTCCCATCTCTAGTGCACAAGCCCTAAGCATTTCTTCTAATGTCTGGATGGTTCTCTCCATTTGGCCATCCGTTTGTGGGTGAAATACTATGCTGAATGATAAAGTAGTGCCTAAGGCCTGTTGTAGGCTTGTTCAAAACCTAGAAGTGAAACAAGCATCTCGATCTGAAACTACTGATCCCGGAATTCCATGAAGTCTAATAACTTCCTTAATATATAATCTGGCAGGTTTATCTAGAGGATCTGTAGCTTTTATTGGTAGGAAATAGTTCACTTTGTTAATCAGTCCACTATTACCCACATAGTATCATGGTTCAATCTAGTCATAGGCAAACCCATCACAAAGTCCATAGTGATGTGTTCCCACTTTCACTCTAGAATTGGTAAAGGTCGGAGTAATCCCCCTGGTTTTTGGTGTTTGGCTTTAATAATCTGA